AGTGTATAGGTTGTGACAATATGTCAAACCTGATGATACACTTCAGACTGATAATTTATTATTTAAAACCGAGTTTCAAAAAATAGAAGAACTAGAGAAAGAAAAAGTTCCACAAACACAGAATAAATATAAAACACTAGAAATAGTAAGCTTGACTGATCAAGTTCAACGCTTACATCTCAAGGGACAAGAAAGATACCAAGATCCTCAAAAATAAGAAGCAATAGAAAGAATGAAAAGAAAGCAAATAGAGCAAATGTTATTTAAAACCAATGAAGCACTGCTCAAGTATCAGAAATCACCTTTCGCAGCTTCAAACAGAAACCCTCCACTAACACCAAAAACATTTAGAGAATACATGAATCAACTCAGTTCTAATATTAAAAAATTAGAAAAATTACAAGAACAAGAAAAAAATGAAAATGTAGACAAAATGCTAACAAACCTTATAGATCATATAGCAACTATAGATTCTAACTTCCAGAAGTTTAAAGAAATGAGTGATCAAGAAGCGAAAATGCATCTTGATAACATGAAATATATAGAAGCATTACCAGAAGGATTAAAAAAAAAGAAGCTACATGAAACATACCAAGAAATGTTATTTGAAATAACTCAGTGATACGATAAACAAAATGAAGAAACTCGAAGAACATATACACACGATTTCGAAAAAAGAAAAACATGATATATCGAGAACTCCGGAGATATTCTCAATACCAGACCTGAACAAAATATTAATCTAACAAAAGCCCAAAGAAGAGCAATACAAGCTAAATTAATAGCAATAGCTAATACTTCTTTAATGAAGAAAAAAGGAAAAGAGCTAACAAAAGGTGGCAACAAAATGCTGAAATAAAAATATCAACTAATCAGAAAAAATTAGATATAGCAAAAAGACAAAAAGAACAAGAGAACCAAATGAAAGAAAAACAAAGTGAATACAAAACACATAAAGTAACAATGAGTAGTGTAAGTAAAGCATCCTCCTCATAGAGTGATGACTCTGCTACAGAAGATACAAAGTTCCAGGAATGGCATAACAAATTTACAAAGCAAATTTTAAAAACAGAGATCTAAAAGATCCTACACGAACCTTGCCAATTACTGGAGAACCAAGTGTCCAAGGACAGGGAATAACTATGCATAACACAGAAGCACTAAAAATGCCAGAACCACCCACAGTACAAGCATGAAAGGGATGGTTCAATTCATATATACCTAGATGGGGAAGCTTCCTGATAAAAAAGAAGAGCCACTAGCAAAGTGAGTAGTAAAAGATAATGCAGTAAAATATACAACAAATCAAGAACAACAAGGTAATACAAGTTTTTATCGAGATAGAGTGACCTTCATAGAAAACAGAAGAACATACATACCAACACACGTGAGTATACAGAACCAAACAACTACAATAAAACTGCCAATATCACCTCTATCTATAGAATCAGTATACGACCCTCAAACAGGTAACTCAAGTAGCTCCAGTTTTACAAAAAGTGTAGAGCAATCTACATCTAATGCAGAAACTACTCCACTAATAAAACCAAGAAATAACCAGTATAGATATAATGAAGAAATAATAAACCTAGAGAGTTCATACTGAAAACCTAAAAAAAAGAAAAACAAGTAACCTAAAGTTACATGAAGAATTAGATCACGTAACAAACGAAATAAGGTGATGAATATTACCAACTATGGGACCAGGAATACCTGTGTATACTGTAAAAGAAATAAGGTTACAACTTTATACTTTTACAGCTATACCTATAATACCAAATGAAGAATATGTAGTTACACCACTACATGTAGCTCAAAATAAAATCATGATCCAAAATAGATATATAGATAAAACTGTAAAAACAATACAATTGTTTAATTGGATATATAAAAAGTTATATAATACCTAAGGAGTATCATATAGCTAACATTGAAGCAATAAAAGAAGTATATAAATTTGCAAAAGTAATAAATTCAGAAGATAACGATAATGATAAAATAAAACTTGAAGAGAGATTAAAGCTTTTACTCAAAAAAACAAACTCAGAATATAGGAATCTCTTAGATCCAATATTCAAAAGATATTATAAAGATATTTTTTAACTAAAAGAAGAAAAAGCTACAATATTCAACTCTAAATGATTTAATATATCTATATGACTTAAATTAAAAGAAAAATCTATCTTAGAAGGAATACCCAAGAAAGATCAACAAAGAATGTCTAGACCAATGTCTAAAGATGAAAAAGAACAATCAGATAAGATGTTCAAGGAATTAAATGATAACGGGTACCTTGAACTCTCCACAGCAGCATGGGTATCACCAATAATAATAATACCAAAGCCAGATAGATTAAAAAGATGTGTAATAGACTATAGAGGACTTAATAAGCATCTCGAAGATGATAGCTTCAAAATACCCCATATACCCACCTTTTTTGCACAAAGTAGCAGCTTATAAGTACTATAATACTATAGATTTTAAGGCTGCATATTATCAATTTCCGGTAGAAGAACAGAAAAGAGATAAAACAATATGTTTTTTTCCAGGCATAGGTAAATACAGATTTACAGTAATACCTATAAGATTAAAAACAGCCCCAGTATACATAATGAGATATATGTTTGAATTATTTAAAGATATGCCATATATAGCAGTATATATAGATGATTGTACAATTTTAGCAAATACAGTACAAGAAATGGTAGAAAGACTTGAAGCAGTATTCAAGCGTATAAAAGAAGGAGGCATAATAATGAATCCTAAAAAATGTGAATTTGGAGTAACAAAGACTACCATTCTGAACTATCAAGTAGAACAAGGCAAGATTTATCTGAATAACAAAAAGCTAAAAGAAATAGAAAAACTGCAGCTGCCAACAAATGTTAAAGAAGTTAGATCATTTAATGACATAACTAATTACTTTAGAAGGTTTGTAGAAAACTTCTCAACTATAGCAGAACTAATTAACAATCTACTAAAGAAAACAACAACATTTAAATAAACAAAAAAGTGCCAATATGTATTTGATCTCATTAAAAAGAAAATACTAGAAGCACATTGGTTAATATATCCTAAACCAGGATACCAATTGATTGTAGAAATGGATGCATCTGATAATAGTATTGGAGCAGTACTAAAGCAGGTTAATCCAGAACTTAAGCATTATAAGACAATTCAAAAAGAACAAAAGAATGGTCACACAGATCACTGGACACAAAGCGAAGAAGAAGTTATAGAATTCTTCTCTAAGACATTAACTGCAACTCAACAAAATTGGAAAAGTACACAAAAGAAATATACGCAATATATGAGTTACTGAAGTTATAAAACCGTACATAGGTAATAGATATATAATTGTATAAACAGACAATGCGAGACTAACAACAATAGCAAAAAGTTGTAAAAATACAACAGTAACAAGATGGCTTTTAGAGCTACAAGATATGAATTATACTCTAGAACGAATACCTGAATCAAAGAATAAGATAGCAGACTATATATCACATGCAATAGGAAAACCAACAAAAAGCGAGCAGATTACTATGAAAAATGGTAATACAATAACAGTTGAACCAAAAAAATAACTCGACTAGTATATATATCAAACTGAGTTAGGAATTTAACTACTCAACTGACATATGTGACAGACTAGTAAGAATTTATCGAAGAATTGATAGCTCGATAGACAAGAAATTAGATATATAAAGATCAATAGAAATATGCTATTTTATAAGTAAAATTTATAGAAAAACTAAAACAACCACAAACCAGTAGGAAAACAAAACAGAATCACGTACTGTTACAAGAGAGTAATCAATCCAAAAGAAGAAAGATGACTCATGGAATACCACTATATGATGAATTATATGAGTACCTAAAAAGTAAACAAAATGCGATTGTATACCTACAAGATAAGAAGATATTATCAAGACAAGTCAAGTATCTGAATTGTCAGAATGAAATATATTTTGAGAATAGAATGAATCTATTTGTATATACCAACTAGAAGAAGTGCTAAAAGACCATGTCTATCTTCAATAACAGTATTTGCAGAATCGCAAATACAAGTTAATCAAGTATTTAAAATAGATTACTTTTGGTTAGCCAAAGCGAAATATAAAACCATTGTACCTGTTATAGGATTAGCACCAAAAATAGTCACAAGGTGGATAAACATTTACCGAGAATTAGTAAGCCTAAATTTACAAGAAAATAAAGAACGAATCAGAGAAAAAAATATAATAGAAGTAGATGAATTAGATTTGGAGTAAAGCACTGAAGAGAATGGAATCCTGAAATAGGAGAAATAACTGAAATACACCAAGACATATAGGTTTTCGGAGGTGTAGAAAGAACCTCTAAAAAGCACATATTTGCAATGATCGTAAAAAATAGATCACAAGACATATTACTAAGACAAATAGCTAACCATATATATCCAGAATCACTTATATACTCTGACATGTAGGCTAGATACCAGAACATTTATGACTAGCTAGGAATAGAGCACCGCTCTGTTAATCATAGCCAAGAAATAGCAGTCTGAAAAGAAGATGTGAGAACCAGAGAAATTATTGTATATCACACTAACTACATAAAAGCAATATAGCGAGTCCTAAAAAGTCAAATACAAGCTAGATATCAGAATCATAAGTTTTTGTCTGAATGCTTATTAGAATTCATATGGAGACACCAAAATGAGAATAACCTTTTTGAAGCATTCTTAGAATGTTTGTGATTAATAGAAAAAATAACAATCAGCAATGAAGATCAGTAATATGATCGATCTATAGTAAAGAATAAAACAATTAAAGGATAAAACGGGATACATAATAGTTAGTATGAACTTGATAAAGCTAAAGCTTACTAAAAGATTCTACTAACTACTATGCAAAAAACTTATTTAAGGACTGGAAAACTACCATCTTAAGATATTACTACACAAACAACTTAATAACCAAAACAAGTAAAATATTTAACTATCACCCTTTGACAGAATAAATTTCAAACAAAGCAATGATACCTGGATCCAAAAAAAAGCTAATTATTGCTCTAATTGTGATGAGTATAAGGAATTACCTGACTATAACTGTAAAATTGACCTCAAGGGATTTGACTGGTTTAGTGAAACTGAAAAAGAACGTTCTGAATCAAGAATTTCTAAGAATTACTGTAACAATTGTGGATATAAAAAGAAACAAGGTCACAACTGCAATAATTACCCTCTTAACCCAAATAGGAAAAAAGATTTACCAAAGATTACTTGTTACCTGCAGCAAAATTAATACACCATATGCACTGCTCTAAGTGTAATAAATCAGGAAACTACAGTAGTTCATGCCCCAAAAATAAAGAAAAAGACCTTAGTCATATTATTTGTAATAATTATAAAGAAAAGAGACATGTAGATAGCAAGTGCCTCTACATTGTCTATAGACTTTGTAAGAAAAAAGGGCATATTTAAACACTGTACTAACTATATTATTGACTTAACTAACCCTGGATACTGCACATATTGTAGATCTATCGACAACATGAAAAAAGAAGATTGCTCTAAAATTAAGTTATTAAAACAACAACAAGCACACAACTGTAAGTATGACCTTACCAAAGTATAACTAAAAGTTCAAGAAGAGTTTGCAAAAAACAAAAGAAACATAATAGCAGAAATACCTACCATTGTTGCAAATACCTTAAAATTTGTGGCTATACCAAATTATATCTCCTAAGCAAAATATCACTCTATATACAATATAAAACAAACATTAAATACTTTGATAATGTTTTAGTATATAAGAATTGCTGCCTCAGATATTATGAACAACAATTCTCAGTTGACTATAACTATAAAAAAGCAACTGCTTTCTTTAACAAGCAAGAGAAATTAACAGAATGTCACTTCTGTTGTAAGCCCCTATAGAGCACACTATTTACCACAGACTGAATACTTTTTCTGTAATTATAAAGAATTGATAGCCTATAAGGTAGCAACTAAATTAAATAATAACACTAATTATAACTAACTTATCTGAATAAGACACCAAACTAGACGACCACCACAATATCCTGGATACATCATAAATGAGTCAATAATTGAACAACTAGTTCAAGCTTACCAAGCTTCACAAAAAATCGAACCAACTAATAGACTAACATATTTTAAGAATTACATGAACACCTATTTAATAGCATCACACGCAGATAATATGTGGAACGATTTAGAAGAACATGATAATGATATTCTAACTATAGAACTAATTGTAAGAGGATTTGATCCTAATGATCCCTTACTGGAATATCAAATAACTAAAGCAGATATAATTCAATTAGAAAACTTAGATATGATTCAACCTAAAGAGTATACTAAAGAAAACTTCCAACAAGTAGTAGCAACAAATAAGTACATTAAA